TATGTTAGGTATTTTTGTCACTGCCCACTTTTAAAGATATTTAATATATCTGTGCTTCAGGTTGAGTATTGAATACTTCATTAATTCATTCAATTCTTAATTTTATACATTTTAATATTACATTTATAATTCACTTTGTTTTTCTAAATAGATTCAAATACTCAGATAAAATTCTACATAACTTAGTTTGTCTAGATTTCTCTTCATTTAAAAAAATAAAGTTACAGGTTTGTAAAAGTATTTGCTTTCTAGGAGTAATATCTGGAAAATCAGTGATCTACTTCTCCTGATGATATTTTCTCATAAAACCGAGGGGGACTAGATTTGTTATGGCTTGCATGTTCAAGCTACCCTATAGTGTAGAACAAATATTGGAATTAAAAGGAAATGTATAGGATTCCATTGGAGAGGTAATTCATTCTTCATTATAAGTAAGAAGTAAGATGAGAGATTAAGCACATTGGCTCTGTCTCAAAGCTTATCCATGGGATTTTATGCGGACATTTTGTGAAATGAGGTGTACATACAATTTACCTCAAGTTTTCAGGTATAATCATTTTTGACTTTTCTAAGGAGGAGCTGTTTAAGTGGATAAAGACTGATTTGAAACTCATACCCCAAATAGTCAACTTTGCCTTACAAACTTTAAAAATATTATCACCTCACAGAATTCTACTAATTCTTTACCTTTGATTATGATATCTCTTAAAACTGTTAGTAGCACACAATGTCAATACATAGTATTTACATTCAACTGAGGGTTGCATCTTGATCATTTCTACACCCCACTTCTCCCTGCCCATCTCCCTCCCTCCCCATGCATTTGAGGGATACAATTATTACACATATTAAAAGGCCTAACATAGTTTTTTCTTTTAGTTCTTAATTTTAGAATCTTTCTTTTTCTATCCTATTTATACATAAAATCATGTCTTACTGATTTTATATTAAAAATTTAACATTTTAAATTTATATCATGTATGTTTTATATGAAGTTGAGACCAGAATGTCAGATGAAGCAAAGCTTTCTACTGTAATGTTTAAAATTGGTTAAATCATTTATTAAAGTGTTATAGGTACAAGATGAACAAACTACTCTCTTTGACAATCAAAATTTCTTATCTAAAAAAAGATATCTTCAGAAAGAAGAAAACAAATTCCAAATTCATTCAGATTTCCTATCAAAATAATCATACTTTTATACTACTTATACAATTCAGTATTCATGATAACTGATATTTGTTCAATTGTGTTGCAAGTTTAAAATCAAGTGAGTCATACAAGAGAACATTTATTGCAGATTTGTTCATAATTGCTAAACCTTGGAAGCAGAGAAGGCATCCTTCAGTAAATGAGAGGATGAATAAAATGGAACAAGGGCAGGGGATATATCTCAGAGATCCAAGAACCTGTCTGGCAAGGTCCTGAGTTCAATTCTTAGTACTGGTGGAAAACAAAAGTATTGTGATACATCCATTGCTAAGTGAGTCAATCCACATGTTCAAGGAATCCAAAGCATATAATCAACTAAAAGAGATCAATTTGAAAAGGCTATGTGTGGTATAATTATATCTAGCTTTAGAAAAGGTAGAACTATGGAGACAACATTTTCCAGAGTATAAATAATTTAAAGAGCAAAATAAAGTTAGATAATATTTTTTTACTTTAAAGAGATTAAGACAAAAGAGGACATAACAAAGCAGATCAGAACAGAACGATGTATGCAACACAGTATTTCACCACAAGACAACTCATAACTAACAGTAACTACCATTATGTCTCTTTATTTGAAATAGTTGAGCATAAATTAATATACAAAAGAATCAAACATAACAAAATAGTACAAAACCATTCAAGAGAATGAAAGTATTACAGGGTATTCTGAAACAAATAACAGAGAACAAACAATGGCTTTCATATTATTTCATTTTCCATGTAAAATTTGTTTGTACTATCTCGTATAATGATATCCAATAAGACACAATGTGATAGAACCAATGGAAACAAGAAAAAAAGCATGGTAGGACTTCAGAGTAAGATGATATTAAATCAGCACTGGCTATTATAATGTCTTATTATCTTCAAAATAGCTGTTCATGATATCACAGACAATAAAATCAAATAACCCAGGATAAAATAATTCCAACTAATGAATGAAAACATTACAAGGCTTCAAAGCAATGCAATGGGGAATTATGATTACCATAAACTCTTATGTACTCTTACCATTTCTTACACTAGGGAGACTATATGGTATTTATACATGTGAGTTTGATTTATTTCACTTAGGAGTATGGTTTCAAGCTGTGTCCATTTATTTATAAATAGATCTAAGTGATCATTCTCTATAGCTAAGTAGTACTCATTGTATAAAAATACCACATGTTTTTTATCCATTGCTCAGTTGATGGATATTTAGGTTGTCTCCAAGATCTGGCTATTACAAATTGTGCTACTATAAATATGGGTGCAAATATATCACTGTGATATGATGTTTTCAATTCTTCTGGGAATATGCCTAAAAGTGTAATAGCTGGAACAAATGAGACTTCAAATCCCAGCTTTTTGAGGAATCTCCAGACTGACCTCCACAGTGGTTGTGTTGCATCAGTATACACTCCCACCAACCGTTCAGGTGAGTTCCACTTTCCTCACAGCCTCTCCAGCAATTGTTGTTGGTAGATTTTTGGTCCTGGCCATTCATTCTGAAGGGAGATGGAATCTCAGTGTTGTGTCAATTTGCATTTTTCTAATGGCCAATGATGATGAACATTTTTTCATGTATTTATATGCCATTTGTATTTCTTCATCTGAGAACTGTGTATTCATCTCACATGTCCATCTTGGATTGGGTCTTTGAATTTCGGGGATCTGATTTTTTTAAATATGCTTTAGACAGAAGTCCTTTTTCTGAGGGAAAGTTCACTAAGATTTTTTTTCCCAGTTTGTGGGTTTTCTTTTTACTGTGCTGGAGATTTCTTCTGACATGCAGAAACTTTTTAATAAACCATGATCCCAGTTACTGATTCTGGGAAGTATTTCCCGTGTGGTTTGATGCCTGTTCATGAATTCTCATGAACTCATGAATAACATCAAGAGTTTTACCTAATTTGTCTTCCAACAGATATAGTTTTTCTGTTTTAATATTCAGATCTTTGATCCATTTAGATTTTGGTTTACTACATGTTTATAGGCATGGGTCTAGTTTTAGTTTTTGGAATAAAGAGAGCCAATTTTTCCCGCATCATTTACTAAAAAGACAGCCATTCTTCCAGTGAATACGTTTGGCCCCTTTATCAAAGATAAGGTGATTGAGTGTGTTTGTTGTGGTGGTTGTATCTTCTAATCTATTCCATTGATTTTCAGATATATTTTTATTCCAGTACTATGCTGATTTTATTATAGTAGCTTTGTAGTATAACTTTAAGTTAGGGCTTGTGATGCCTCCTGACTTGCTTTTGCTGCTTAGAATAGTCTTCGCTATTCTAGGTCTCTTCCGGTTCCAGATGAATTTAAAAGAGTGAGTTCTCTAGACCTATGAGGTATGTTGGTGGTATATTCCTTGGGGTTGCATTGAATTTGTATAAAAGTTTTGGGAGAATGGCCATTTTCACAATATTTATTCTTCCTATCCATGAACAAGGGATGTCCTTCCATTTTCTAAGATCCTCTTCAATTTCTTTTTTCAGGGTATTACAATTTCCCTGTATAGATCTTCTACTTCTTCCATGGGATTGATTCCTAAGTATTTCATTTTTTTGGATACTAGTGTGAAGGGTGTGGCTGCTCTTATTTCTCTCTCAGTAATTTTGTTGTTAGTGCCTAGGAATGCTATTGATTTTTCAGTACTTATTTTGTATCCACCTACATCCCTGAATTTATTTATTATATCTAGGAGTCATTCAATGGAGTTTTGGGGGTCTCCTATGTAGAGTATCATGATGTACAAATAATGATAATTTTACTTCCTCTTTTCCTATCTTTATCTCTCTCTCTTTTTTTTTTCTCTCTTGTCTAATTGCTCTGGGTAGTATTTCCAGTGCTATGCTGAATAGGAGCAGTGATAAGGGACATCCTCATCTTGTGCCTGATTTTAAGGTAATGGCCTTCAGTTTTTGGCCATTTAATATGAGGCTGGCTGTTGGTTTGTCACACATGGCCTTTATCATATTGAGGTTAGGACCATCTATTCCAATTTTCTGTAAGGTTCTTATCATGAATGAATGTTGGACCTTATCAAAAGGTTTTTCTGCATCTATAGAAATGATCATGTGAATCTTTATTTTGGCTTTATTGACATGGTGGATTACATTTATTGATTTATGTATTGGGGACCATCCTGCCTGAGATGAATTCCACTTGGTCATGGTGTATAATCTTCTTGAGGATTTGCTCCATCCTGTTGGCCAATATTTTATTGAGGATCTTTGCATCTGTGTTCATTAGGGAGATTGGCCTGTAGTTCACCTTTTTAGTTGGGTCTTTCTCAGGTTTTGGTACTAGAGCAATATTTGCTTCCAGGAATGATTTAGAAAGAATAGCTTCCCTTTTGATTTCATTGAAGAGTTTGAGGAGTGTCGGCATTAAGTCTCCTTTATATTTCTTTTAGAAATCCACAGTGAATCCGTCTGGGCCTAGGTCCTTTTGTAGGTAAGGACTTAATTACATTTTCAATTTCATTAATAGAAATTGGGTTATTCAGCAGTTTTACACCTTTTGGACCCAGCTTTGGTACTCCATGTTTCTAGAAATCTGTCCATTTCTTCTGTGTTATCCAACCTATGAGAGTAGAAGTTTTTGTAATAGGTGTTGATGATCTTCAGTATTTCCACAGAGTCTGTAGTGATTTCACCTTTTTCATTCTGTTATAGTTTGAGAACTGGTGGTCAACTTAACGCCAACTGGATTACATCAGCATGCATTGAGAGAAGATGCTCCACCTGAGTATGGTTGTCAGGCTAAATTGGTTGAGAAGAAGGGAGGTGAGAGGGATTGAGGCATTAAGGAGGCATTGTGGGTTCTCTTACGAGTTGCTGTCTGAGCAGTTGGTTCTCCTGGAGAAGCTTTGGTCCTCATTTCGAGCATTGCTTCCTGGCTCCGGAGGGGAAGACATGTGCTGCTTGGTCTCCAGGATGAACTTGTCACACTGCTTCCTGCCATGTACCCAACTGTGCTTGTCATTGGAGGAGCTCGGGGCCTCCGTGTCACTGAGGACAGCTGTGGTGCCTTTCAGGCTAGCCCTGCTCTTTGTTGTGAGTGTGACTTCTCAGCTCCAGTGTAGAACCCTCATCCCACTAGCACAGCTCCTTCATCCTGCTGGCATAGACTTTCTGGCTTCCACCGCTGACCCTTGGGTCTTCCTGGAATAGATCCATAAAAAAGACTGGAGTGAGTCCTTCTTGTGGGCTCTGGACTTTCAGTTGGACTTGTGGAGGCATTGTCCTGAGCTCTGGGTTTTTATCTGGATTCATGTGGGACATTGCAATAGGGTTTAGGCTCTTGACTAAATAATCTATGTCTTTGGTGTTGCGGATAGATTTCCTGCATTTGTTGTGTTAACTTCCGGTGACCATTATAAAAATATTATGAACTCCATGTCCTAATCTTAGTTGTTCTCTGTGTACAACCACTGACTACAACAGAAATTGGTTCCAGAGGAGTGGGGTCATTGCTGTTATGTTGGCTGGCCATGTGATTTAAGAACTTTGGAAATTAATTTGGAAAATATTTGAGAGACTGGCCAAATTTGAAACAGCCTTTGTGTGCTATATTATTTTGGAGACTCTGATCGGAACCTGGAAGATTGGAGTACTGATGGAGATGCTGCCAATTAAGATGAAGCTTGGGAAGCTTCTGTTGGGAAAGACTGCAATGTCTGCTGGAGTCCAGGTAGTATACTGTGCTTTAGATGAAAATTGGTCTTCTTATTTGTATTTAGAGATATTACCTGGGTGGCAGAAGAATTTCAGTGCAGTCTACTTTTGAGTGGTAGCATGGTTAATTTAGTGAACTTTTGACCAGATGTATTTTGAAAATTTAGAGCAAAGATCCAGTAGAGTAATTTAAAACACTTGGCCAAGAAGGCTCCAATGGAACTGTGGGTTATAAAGATAAAACAGACAACATGGTTGTTTAGAAGAATAGAATAATAAAAAATCAAGAGTACATTTGAATTGCGGGAGATTCTTGTATTTTAGTCTTGCCATGCTAATGTTAATGGGAAGCAAGGACTGTGATTGTAGTGTGATTGTAGTGTAGTTCTTTTAGTGTGATTTTAATGTTTTATATGTTTGTACCTAGGTTAATTTATCAAAGTACTGTGTTTTAATGTTGAATCTTGGTCACCTTTTAAATGTTTTGGTTTTAATGCAGAAATTAAGTGTAAAAAGAATTATGTATGTATGTATGTAATGGCAGGAAGAAGGTGTGTCTTGCTCTTTGCTGGTTCCTGTTTTGCTGTTTGCAGCTGCCATGAACTGTGGCCCAGCCATGCCCACCTGCCTTGGAGCCAACTAAGTGTGCACTGAAACCTCCAAAAACTGTAAGAAATAAACCTTTCCTTTTCCAACTTTGGGCTTCAGGTATTTTGTCTCAGTGATGAGTAAAACATAACTAAGACACATTCCTTATTGCATGAATTTGAGCTTTTTCTTTCCTTTTTTAAATAAGGTTGGCTAGGGGCTTATCAATTTTTTATTCTTTCAAAGAATCAACTCATTGATTCATTGATTCTTTGGATAGTTTTCTTAGTCTCTATTGCATTAATTTCTGCTCTGATTTTCATATTTTTCCCTTCTTTTGGCTTTGAGCTTGACTTGCTCTTCTTTTTCTAGATGTTTGAAATGTAACATCAGGTTGTTTATTTGTATTTATTCTGTTTTCCTGATGTGGGAACTCGGTGCCATAAATTTTCCTCTGAGTACTGCTTTCATTGTATTCCACAGATTTCGGTAAGTTGTATTTATATTTTCATTTGCTTGTAAGTATTGTTTAATTTCTTCTTTAATTTCTCCTGTGACCCACTGATTGCTAAAGAGTGTATTATTCAATTTCCATGTGTTTGTGTGGTTTTTCAAGTTTCTTTTATCACTAATTTCTCATTTCATGGTGCTATGATGTGACAACATACATGGGATAATTTCAATTCTTTTGCATTTATTTATATATGTTCTTTGGGGTATTATATGGTCTATTTTAGAGACTATTCCATGTACTGTTGAGAAGAATGTATATTCTGTTATTGTTGAATGAAACACTCTGTATATGTCTATCAAGACCATATATTCACAGGTGTGATTCAGTTATGCTATTTCTTTTCTGATTTGCTATTGGTTGATCTGTCTCTTGATGTCCATGGTGTGTTAAGATCACCTGTTATAATTGTGTTATTGCTAATTTGGTTTTTCATTTCTATTAATACATGCTTTATGTAAGTGGGTGCTCTCAAATTTGGTGCATATATATTTAAGATTGTTATCTCTTCTTCTTGGAGTTTGTCCCTAACCAGTATGTAGTGACCTTCTTTATCTCTTAGGATCATTCTTGGTTTGAATTTCACATTGTCTGCAAACAGAATTGTCTGCATTTCACATTGTCTGCAAACCTCCACTTTTTTTTCAGTTCCTTTTCCATGAAGTATTGTTTTTCCTCCTTTGACTTTCAGTCTGTGAGTATCTTTTTGGGTTAGGTTAGATGGGTTTCTTGTAGGCAGAATATCGTTGGATGTTGTTTCTTGATCCATTCTGCCAGTCTGTATCTTTTAATTGATGAATTGAGACTATTTGCATTAATGCTTATAACTGTCATATAAAGGTTTTATTGTTGACATATTATCTTTCTGCCGTTGCTTCTTTATCTTTTAGTTGTGTTTAATTGTCTGCCTTACTTAGTGGTTTTTTCCTGTGTGTATCTAAACTGTCTTTCAGTATTCTTTTCAGGGTTGGCTTGGTGATCATGAGATTTTTCAGCTGTTCTTTGTCATGAAAGTATCTTATTTCTCCATCAATTTTGAAGGACAGTTTTTCAGGGTACATCAGTCTAGGCTGGAAATCATTTTCCTTTAGGATCTGGAATACTTCACTCCATGCTCTTCTTGACTTTATTGTTTGTGTTGAGAAGTCTGCTGTGATTCTGAGAGGTTTTCCTTAATAGGCAATCTGTCTTTTCTCTCTGACAGCTTTTAATATTCTGTCCTTATGTTGGATTTCTGGGATGGTGGTTACTGTATGTCTGAGTGTAGTATTATTTTGGTTATGGCTATTTGGAGTTCTGTATACTTCACTAATCCTAATAGCAGTTTCCATTCTCATGTTTGGAAAATTTTCATCTATTACTTCTGTAAATAGCCTCTTGAAATAATTCATGTCATCCCCTTCTTTTTCATTTATCCCTATCAATCTTATGTTGTTTTTCTTTGCATCATCTTGCAGCTGTTGAATTGTTATTCTTGATTCCTTATTATTTTTAAAAGATCTTTCCTTTCCTGTTCTCCAGCTTCAATCTTGTCTTTGAGGTCTGAAATTCCATCTTCACTTTTCTTGAGGTGGTTTAGACAACTTTCAATGGAATTTTTGATTTCCTGTATATGTCTTTGAATCTGCTTCATGTATTCTGTTTGTTTCTTATATTGTTCATCCAGGGAGTCTTTTTGTTTTGTTCCTCTAAGTTTTTTAAATGTGTGTTCTTTAGAGGTGTTCAGCATCTCTTTCGTTACTTTATCATTTCTTCTTCTACCTGGGAGATTATTTCTAGTTTGAATTCTTTTAAAGCTTCCAAAAGTTGCTTCTTTATTTCAGCTGCTATTATTTCAGACATTTCGGGTGTATATCATATATATTTTCTTCAATTATTTGGCTCCTAGGCTTTCTTGGGATGGGCTGGAGGTTTGAGATTGCATTTTGGTCTTTGGTTTTGCCATTTTCCCATATTTCTGTGTTTCAAGTGTTATTCCAAGGCTTCCATTGGATCTGTTGGAAATCACCTCCTATGCCCTCCACTTCTGGAACTGAATGGAGGTTGCTGAATGTGGTCCAGTCAGGCCAACATGACGTCCTGTGTCACCTCCCATGTTCCAGGAAGCTGGGTAGGCACCTAACCACTGTGGATAATGATCCATAGTTCTCCCCTGGCAAGACCAATGAGCTCACTTCAGTGTGCTCTCAACTCCTGTATTGAAGAAGATTGCTGGGTGTGGTCTAGTCAGGCTGCAAATCTCACAAGCCTGTCTAGCATGTCTGGAAGCTAGGTGTATCCTTTTTTTTTTTTTTTAGAGGAAAAAGAGAAAAACACAAAACAAACCAAAGCGGCGTAAGGGTACACGCAATACAGAACTACAAAAAAATAACAAAACAAAACAAAAAAACATAACAGTAAGAAATCACCTGCTAGTAGATTACACACTGTCTTCTTGAAAATAGTTCCTCAAATCACAGTATCAAAGAACACAAGGTGGACATTCAAACAGGGAGACTGCAAACAGCTGTGTTCAATGTTCCAAAAACATTGATATAGTCAGCTATTTAACACCCCCAAACACACTTGCTGTTATATCCGTTAGAGCTCTTTTTCTTTTTTTTTTTTTCCCTCTCTTTTTTACAACAAAATTTACACATTTTGGATTTTATTACTCCTTAGTGCTTATTACTTTCTTTGGCGGGGGAAAGAATACAGTCAAATATGGCAAAACAAAGCTGTCAGTCAATACCAAGGATAGACATAGCACATGGTGTAGAACAGAGTACAAGTTTATCAACAATGGTTATCAACATTGTCCCTTGTTTCCTTAAAAAGAATTGTCTATCTCATTAGATATTATAAAGTTGGACAAAACAGTAGAGAACAAGACCAATAAAACTTAGGCATTGTAAACATTACAGGACTTCCAAAGAAGACAATAGTCAAACCAGAATGGATATCTTAGTGAATCTTATTGTCTTCAAAGTAGTTGCCTATGTCTTCAAACTTGATACTACCATATAGAATGGAACATCATCTAATCAGTCAAAACAAGATCGTGGGAGTACTACAGGACTTCAAAACAAGTTAATAGGAAATCAAAAAGAGTTACTATTTATATATCCTAATTTTTTGAATTTTTTCTTTAATTAAGACAAACATAAGAAATGACTAAATAATTTTTTTAAAACAATAAGGGTGAGATTGAGATAAAATAGGACATAACAATATAACAATAGAGGTCACAGCATGACTGTTTCAACAACCTAGTACTTCACCACCATATAACCTGACTTAATAGTAGTTACCATAGTGTCTTTTTCCTTGAAATATTTGGATAAAACTTCATATACTCTAGCTTCAAATATTTTCAAATCAAGAAGCCCAGAATAAAGCCTTTCTAATTAATGAGTGAAAACTTTATAAGGCTCCAAGGCCACCTAATGGGGAATCATTATTACCACATATTTTTATATATTTTAATCATTACTTACATTAGGGAAACTATTCGGTATTTACTCATGCGAGAATGATTTATTTCACTTATGAGTATGGTCTCAAGCTGCGCCCATTTATTGATAAATATCTCAATGTGATCCTTCTTTATAGCTGAATAATACTCCATTGTATAGAAATACCACAACTTTTTTATCCATTCCTCAGTTGATGGACACTTGGGTTGTTTCCAAGATCTGGCGATTACAAATTGTGCTGCTATAAACATAGGTGCACATATATCACTGTGGTATGATGCTTTCAGTTCTTCTGGGAATATGCTTAGAAGTGGAATAGCTGGAATAAATGGGATTTCCAGTCCCAACTTTTTGAGAAATCTCCAGACAGATCTCCACAAAGGCTGTACCAGTCTACACTCCCACCAGCGGTGCAGGAGATTTCCTTTTTCCCCACAGCCTCTCCAGCATTTGTTGTCGGTTTTCTTGATCCTGGCCATTCTTTCAGGAGTGAGATGGTATCTCAGTGTGGTTTTAATTTGCATTTCTCTACTGACCAATGATGATGAGCATTTTTTCATGTATTTATTTGCCATTTGCATTTCTTCATCTGAGAATTGCGTACTCATCTCAGATGCCCATTTTTGGATTGGATCTTTGAATTTTGGAGGTCTGAGTTTCTTTAATTCTTTATATGTTTTAGACAAGAGGCCCTTGTCTGAGAGAGAGTTCACTAAAATCTTTTCCCAGTTTGTGGGTTTTCTTTTCACTATGCTGGAGATTTCTTTTGACATGCAGAAACTTTTTAATAAGAAGTGGTCCCAGTTATTGATTCTGGGAAGTATTTCCCGTGCAGTTTGAGTCCTGTTCGTGAATTCTTTACCTACTCCTATGTCTCCAAGGTTTCTACATAATTTGTCTTCCAATAGATTTAGTGTTTCTGTTTTAATATTCAGATCTTTGACCCATTTAGATTTTAATTTAGTACATGGTGATAGACATGGGTCTAGCTTTAGTTTTCAGCAAATGGAGAGCCAGTTTTTCCAGCACCATTTATTAAAGAGACTGTCATTCTTCCAGTGAACCTGCTTGGCTCCTTTATCAAAGATAAGGTGGTTGAGTGTGTTCGTAGTTGTGGTTGTATCTTCTAATCTATTCCACTGATCTTCGGCTCTGTTTTGATTCCAATACCATGTTGATTTTACTACTGTTGCTTTGTAGTATAACTTCAAGTCAGGGATTGTGATGCCACCTGCTTTGTCTTTGCTGCTTAGAATTGCCTTTGCGATTCTAGGTCTCTTCTGGTTCCAGATGAAATTTAGGAGTGATTTCTCTAGATCTATAAGGTATGTTGATGGTATTTCTATTGGGATTGCATTGAATCTGTATAAGAGTTTTGGGAGAATGGCCATTTTCACAATGTTTGTTCTTCCTATCCATGTGCAAGGGATGTCTTTCCATTTTCTGAGATCATCTTCAATTTCCTTTTTCAGTGTATTATAATTTTCACTGTATAAGTCTTTCACTTCTTTCGTAAGAGTAATTCCTAAATATTTCATTTTTTTGCTTGCTAATGTGAATAGTCCAGTTTCTCTTATTTCCCTCTCTGTAATTTTGTTGTTCGTGTATAGGAATGCTATTGATTTCTGAGTATTGATTTTGTATCCAGCCACATTACTGAATTTATTTATTGTATCTAAGAGTATTTCAATGGAGTTTAGGGGGTCTTCTATGTAGAGTATCATGTCATCTGCAAACAATGATAATTTAACTTCTTCTTTTCCTATCTTTACCCCTTTTATTTCTCTTTCTTGCCTAATTGCTCTGGCTAGTACTTCCAGTACTATATTAAATAGGAGTGGTGATAAAGGACATCCTTGTCTTGTGCCCGATTTTAAAGTAAAGGCTTTCAATTTTTGGCCATTTAGTATGATGCTGGCTGTTGGTTTGTCATAAATGGCCTTTATTATATTGAGGTAAAGACCATTTATTCCAATTTTCTGTAAAGTTCTTATCATGAATAAGTGTTGGACCTTATCGAAGGCTTTTTCTGCATCTATAGAAATGATCATGTGATTCTTATTTTTGGCTTTATTGATATGGTGGATTACATTTATTGATTTGCGTATGTTGAACCATCCTTGCATTCCTGGGATGAATCCCACTTGGTCATGGTGTATAATCTTCTTGATGATTTGCTGGATCCTATTTGCCAATATTTTATTGAGGATTTTTGCATCTGTGTTCATTAGGGAGATCAGTCTATAGTTCTCTTTTATAGTTGGGTCTTTCTCAGGTTTTGGTACTAGAGTAATATTTGCTTCCAGGAATGACTTAGGAAGGATTGCTTCCCTTTCAATTTCATTGAATAGTTTGAGGAGTGTCGGCATTAGGTCTTCTTTATATTTCTTGTAGAATTCTGCAGTGAATCCATCTGGGCCTGGGCTCTTCTTGGTGGGCAAGGACCCAATTACATTTTCAATTTCATTAGCAGAGATTGGGTTATTCAACAGTTTTATATCCTCTTGATCTAGCTTTGGTACTTCATATGCTTCTAAGAATCTGTCTATTTCTTCTGTGTTATCAAACTTTTGAGAGTAGAGGTTTTCGAAATAGGTGTTGATGATCCTCTGTATTTCTATTGGGTCTGTAGTGATTTCTCCTTTTTCATTTCTTATTGCATGAATTTGAGCTTTTTCTTTCCTTTTTTAAATAAGGTTGGCTAGGGGCTTATCGATTTTATTTATTCTTTCAAAGAACCAACTCTTTGATTCGTTGATTCTTTGGATTGTTTTCTTAGTCTCTATTGCATTGATTTCTGCTCTGATTTTTATAATTTCCTCTCTTCTTTTGGCTTTGGGCTTGACTTGCTCTTCTTTTTCTAGCTGTTTGAGGTGTAACATCAAGTTATTTATTTGTATTCGTTCTGTTTTCCTGATGTGGGAACTCAGTGCAATAAATTTTCCTCTCAGAATGGCTTTCATTGCATCCCACAGATTCCGGTAAGTTGTATCTGCATTTTCATTTTCTTTTAGGTATTGTTTAATTTCTTCTTTAATTTCTTCTGTGACCCACTGATTACTCAAGAGTGTGTTATTCAGTTTCCATGTGTTTGCGGAATTTTTGCAGTATCTTTTGTCATTAATTTCTAATTTCAGAGCGCTATGATCCGATAATATGCAAGGGACGATTTCAACTCTTTGCATTTGCTTAAATATGTTCTGTGAGCTAATATATGGTCTATTTTAGAAAATGATCCATGTACTGCTGAGAAGAATGTGTATTCTGATGTTGTTGGGTGGAACATTCTGTATATGTCTATCAAACCCATTTGTTCACAGGTGTGATTCAGTTCTGTTATTTCTTTGCTCATTTTCTGTCTGGTTGATCTGTCCCTTGGTGTCAGTGGTGTATTAAGGTCTCCTGTTACAATTGTGTTACTGATAATTTGAGTTTTCATTTCTGTTAATAATTGTTTTATATAACTGGGTGCTCTGGAGTTTGGTGCGTATATATTTAAGATAGTTATCTCTTCCTCTTGGAGTTTTCCCCTTACGAGTATGTAGTGACCTTCTTTGTCCTTTATGGTCATTGTTGGTTTAAAGTTCACGTTGTCTGCAAACAGAATGGCTACTCCTGCCTTTTTTTGGATTCCTGCTGCATGAAGAATTGTTTTCCATCCTTTAACTTTCAGTCTGTGAGTATCTTTCTGGGTTAGATGGGTTTCCTGTAAACAGCATATGGTTGGATTTTGTTTCTTGATCCATTCTGCTAGTCTGTTTCTTTTGATTGGTGCATTGAGACCTTTTACATTAATGGTTATTACTGTTAAATGCTGGTTAATTGTAGGAATGTTATCTCTCTGCTGTTGCATCTTTATCTGTCTGTTCTGTTTAATTATTTGCTTTGCTTAGTGGTTTTTTCCTTTGTGTATCTAAACTGTCTTTCAATATTTTTTGCAGGTTTGGTTTGGTGTTCATGAAGTTCTTCAGCTGTTCTTTGTCATGGAAATATCGTAATGCACCATCTATTTTGAATGATAATTTTGCAGGATATATCAGTCTTGGTTGGAAATCATTTTGCTTTAGGATCTGGAATACTTCACTCCATGCTCTTCTTGACTTTATCATTTGTGCTGAGAAGTCTGCTGTGATTCTGATAGGTTTTCCTTTATAAGTGATCTGTCTTTTCTCTCTGACAGCTTTTAATAATCTATTCTTGTGTTGGATTTCTGGGATGGTGATTATTATATGTCTGGGTGTAGTTTTATTTTGGTTATGACTGTTTGGAGTTCTATATGCTTCACTGATCCTGATGTCAGTTTCTGATCTCATGCTTGGGAAATTTTCAGCGATTACTTCTCTAAATATCCTCCTGACATCCTTCATGTTGTCTCCCTCTCTTTCATTAATCCCTATCATTCTTATGTTATTCTTCTTTGCATCATCTTGCAGTTGTTGAATTGTTGTTTCCTGATTCCTTGTTATTTTCAAAAGATCTTTCCTTTCCTGTTCACTAGCTGCAATCCTGTCTTCAAGGTCTGAAATTCTATCTTCACTTTCATTAAGGCGCTTCTTACAACTTTCAGTGGAGTTTTTTATTTCCTGTATATCTCTGTGCATCTGTATTATGTATTCTGTTTGTTTCTTATATTGCTCGTCTAGGGATTCTATCTTTTTGTTTAGTTCCTCCAATTTTTTATCTGTGTTTTCTTTAGATATATTTAGAATCTCTTTCATTTCTTTTATCATTTCTTCTTTTATCTGGGAGATTATTTCGAGTTTGAATTTCTTTAAAGCTTCCTGGAGTTGCTTGTCAATTTCAGTGGCTATTGTGTCTGATATATGAGGTGGATGGGATATATTTTCTTCTATATATATCGCTCCTAGGATTTCTTGAGATGGGCTGGAGGTTTGAGGTTGTAATTTGGTCTTTCGTTTTGTCATTTTCCTATATTTCTGTGTTTCAAGTGTTATTTGAAAGCTTCCTCAGGATCTGTTGAAAATCCCCTTCTATGTTTGGAGCTACTGAGACTCTGGCACCGCGCTACCCCAAGCCATTGGGCCTACAGAACCAGTGGCCCTCCTCTGCCTGCTCAGAACTCCGCAGTTCCAGACGAGCTGGGCCTCAGGGACACTGTGCACCCACCTGCCCCTTGGAAGCTCCACAGTTCTTCAATCGCAGCCGGGTTAGGGTACTCACCACAGGCCGCAGTGCTTCAGGAACCTGTGGACCCTCCCTGGTTGCAGAGATATCCACAGTCCTCCAGACACATGGAGAGGCCGATGCAGGCACCCCAAATCTGCCCATCTCCTCCTCTGCAGACCAATGGCCAGGCGTGGCAGCTAAACAGGTTGGGCTAGGCTGATAGTGTGGGCCCGCCCACCCGTCAGTAGCTCAGCAATTCTCCAAGTGTAACCGGAATGGGGAGGCTGATGTGGAAGCCTCAAACCCACCTCTCCCCTTCACTGCACCTGGAAGCCTGGGGGAACTCCAGCAGTCTGGGCGCAGATATCCAGAGTCCTCCAGACATGCAGAGAGGCCGGTGAGGGCACCCCAGATCTGCCCAGCTCCTCCTCTGCAGACCTATGGCCAGGCGCGGCAGCTAAACAGGCTGGGCTAGGCTGGTAGTGTGGGCCAGCTCACCTATCGGGAGCTCAGCAGGTCTCCAAGTGAAGCCAGAATGGGGAGGCTGATGTGGAAGCCTCAAACCCACCTCTCTCCTTCACTGCACCTGGAAGCCTGAGGGAACTCCAGCAGTCTGGGCGCAGATATCCAGAGTCCTCCAGACACGCAGAGAGGCTGGTGAGGGCACCCCAGATCTGCCCAGCTCCTCCTCTGCAGACCTATGGCCAAGTGCGGCAGCTAAACAGGCTGGGCTAGGCTGGTAGTGTGGGCCAGCCCACCTATCAGGAGCTCAGCAGGTCTCCAAGTGAAGCCGGAATGGGGAGGCTGATGTGGAAGCCTCAAACCCACCTCTCCCCTTCACTGCACCTGGAAGCCTGGGGGAACTCCAGCAGTCTGGGTGCAGATATCCAGAGTCCTCCAGACACGCAGAGAGGCCGATGAGGGCACCCCAGATCTGCCCAGCTCCTCCTCTGCAGACCTATGGCCAGGCGCGGCAGCTAAACAGGCTGGGCTAGGCTGGTAGTGTGGGCCAGCCCACCTATCGGGAGCTCAGCAGGTCTCCAAGTGAAGCCAGAATGGGGAGGCTGATGTGGAAGCCTCAAACCCACTTCTCCCCTTCACTGCACCTGTAAGCCTGGGGGAACTCCAGCAGTCTGGGCGCAGATATCCAGAGTCCTCCAGACACGCAGAGAGGCCGGTGAGGGCACCCCAGATCTTCCCAGCTCCTCCTCTAGCTGGGTGTCTCCTTGACCACTGGTAGCGATGATCTTAAACTCTCTGGGGATGTGGGATGGTCAAAAGTTAGAAAATCATAAACATGGAGTCAGATTTTTTGCACATAGGAAGGGGACTGAGAGATCTAGGAGGGAGAAGAGGTGCAGGGTAAAGGGAAATAAAAAAGATTAAAATGTGTGATGCACAGGTATCAATTCCCATGATGAAAGGAATCAATATTAACCACAAGTGTGGGAAACCCTGTAATTGGCTGCCACCTTATAACTGCAGGCCACAGCGCCTTAATTCCCTCTAGGAGTTAAGTTTGGTATTTAAGCAGCACCTTGCACAGCTTGTTTAGCCTGGCCCATTATTCAGGGATTATGCTTATGAGCATGGGAAATTTGAATTAACCTATAACCCTCGGTCTTGCCAATGTTGCTAAGTTACCTGCTGACGTCTCAGAACCCAAATCCCTCCTCCCCAATACCCTATATATTTGATACTCATTCCTTGAATAAATGAGACTTGATTGGACTTCTTCATCTTGTCTCTGCTTTGTGTCTCTTGTTTCCTTTCCATCCCCACTTCCTCTCTAGTGTCTCCATGGACTTACCTGCAGGCTGGGTCACACAAAGATATGCATGCTGATAAAAATTAAAATCTTTTAAAACTGTAGTATCCAGGGATTATCAGGGAGGAAGAAAGGTCAAAGGTTGAAGTCAAAAGATTTTTAGGGTATGAAACTATTCTATTTGGTATTGTAGTGGTGCACATGTGTCACTATATGTCAAAACTCATAGAGAGTACAATATCAAGAGTGAACCCTATCTTGAGCCTTCAGCTGTGCATGCAGATGATTTGTGACTCTCAGATTAACGATTATACCAGAGATACAGATCACTCTGGCAGACTCTGTATACACGAGAAGGCTGGGAAGCAGGGAGCAACTGAGATATGGAGATTCTGTCTATTCTGGCTAATTTTCTTGTGCAGTTAAAACAATTAAAAAATGAAGTCTGTTTTTCAAAAGTGAGATAGTGTTAAAAATGTAGTAACATAAATAGATAACAGCATGAACAGTTCATAAATAATCTGCTCCTATTTTAGTCATTTTTAGAAAATATCAAAAATATGATTTATACTTTAAAGACATGTTAACCTCCTTTTATAGTCAAACAGGCTATAAATTCTCTTTTGATTTCACTGAATGTCCTCAGAATACAGAAAAAATTAAGCTGAATGAAGTCCAACAGAGGCATTGATCTCAGGCAGCCTAGTGTAACTAAAGTGCTATAAATAGAACAGTAAGAAAAATCATTGTAGTTTTTGAGTGTTCCTTTCAGTTAGAAAATAATGACACATTCTGCTAACTGAATTTTCTCAATTTAAGTAGAGCATGAAATGTGGCAATAAATTGTCAAGATTCATGAGTAGTTTTTTGGACTTTTTTCTCCACAGATTATGTTGAAGAAAAATAATATTTAGAATACTATTTCCAAAAAAGAGATCTAAAGTAAGTCTACCATGAACTTACTACATTGGAGAATTTCATTGTGATGAAGACAGAAAACCACTATGTCCTACATACATAAACATTTTTACAAGTCTTTCCTACTGTCTTCTTTTAAAAAATTAATTTTTCCTAAAGAAGCTTGTTTGTTGCTCCAGTGAAACCTTTTACCTTTTGTAAGGTATATGTATATAAACACCATATTCCAATCACTTTTCTGAATCAGTATCAATGAGCATGCATATTTTTGTACAAGCTATATACTGATACTTTTTTCTCTGTCATTTGCAACTTTAATTAACAGGTTTTTAGGTAGTAAACCTCAAAATGATAGAAAAATTATTCCTTAAACTGTTTATGTTAGCTTTAATTTCCTTGTTTTGTTCATTCAGCAGTATAATAAATTATAATATAGATAGAACAAAAGAATTAAACTTTTCAAATTTTAGTAATAAATAATATTATGAAACTGTGTATTGTTACAGTAATACTTGACCAATCACGTTCAAATAATCGTGCATTCAAAGACAGGTATTCTAGCGAGTGATCCTGGTTCACACTTGTAATTCCAACACTATGGAGATTGAGGCACCAAATTCTATATCATCAAAAATATACACAAAAGTAACTCAAAGAAAAATAAAATTTAAATTACTGCATATGAGTCTACCTAAAATTTTAGCAATACTTCTGTTACACAGAATCAAAAGTTTAAGATACTTTTTAAATTTCAGAAGTTTTGTATATTATAAAATAAGACACATTTTAATTAGTGTTTCACTTACATATTTTTATGTGTATGGCAGATATATTAAGCAATTTATAACATTATCGTTTGCCCTGCAATGAAGAACTGCCTCAGTTTTAAAAACTCCAGAAAAAAGCACCCGCAGAACTGGTCACACTGAAAACTGCAGGAGAAAGAAATTCATAGAACAGCATGGATGTCCAACCCACATCAGAAAAACAGAGCCCAATATAAAAAGTGAGTAAAATTAATAACTTGTTCTTAAAAAGAATAAACAAAATAGATAAATTCTGAGTCAAATTTGCCAAAAAAGGAAGAAAATATTCATACCAAAGCAATTAAAAATGAAAAAGCAAAATCACAGCACACACTGTCAAAACATAAAAGATTATTAGTAACTACTCCAAAGTGTCCCATTTTCCCTAAATTGAAGAATCTAAAAGAAATGGATTCTTAAAGAAACTAAAAATAAATAAATAAATAAATAAAAGCTCTAAATAGTCCTATAATAAGGAATAGAATTAAGAAGTAATTAAAAAATACTAAAAAAAGAAAACCCCAGAACACATAGCCAGGCATAGTGGCACACTCTTGCAATACCAGCACTTGGGAAACTGAAGCAGGAGAACCACCATGAGTTCAAGGCCAGCCTGGGCTACATAATGAGTTCAAGGCCACCCTGAAATACATAGAAAGATCCTGACTTGAAAACAAAACAAAATAAGAAAAGAACCCAATAGATGCACTGTTGAGCTCTATGAGCACTTGAAGGAAGTTAACACCAATATTTCTCAAGCTCATTAAGTAAATTTAAAGGGAAGGAGTATTGCCAAACTTATTCTTGGAAGCCAGCATTATCTTGATTCCAAAAACAGACAATGACTCAACTAAGAAAGAAAAGTACCAGCCAATTTTTTAAATGAATATAGGCACAAAAATTCTCAACCAGAACCTGGCAAACAGAATGCAACAAATCATTAGGAGTCATATTTCATGACCAACTAGATTGTATCACAGATATGCAAGTATGTTTTAACATATGCAAATCAATAAATATAATATATCATATAAACAGAAGCTAGGGCAAAAATCATATGACCATTTCAATAGAACAGAAAAAACCTGTGATGTGAAGCCACATTAATTAATGATTAAAAATACTCCATGACAATAGATATTGAAGGAATTTATTGCATTCAAATGAAAAACACTTGTAACAAACCTGCTGCAAACATCATATTAAATGTAGAAAAACTGAAAATTTTATCTTTAAAATCAAGAACAAGACAAGAATTTCTATTGTTATCATTCTTGTTTAATATAGTACTCAAAACTTTAGCTAGGCAATCAAGCAAAAGAAAAATAAAGCAGGCACATATAAGAAAGGTAGAATTTGAACCATTATTAGATAAAAACAATCTTTTACATAGAAGACCTCTAGAACTAATAAAGAAATTCAGAAAAATAGCGAGATACAAAACCAATGTGCAAATAACAGTTGAATTCCTGTATGCCAATTATTAATTCACTGTCTTGGAAATTACTTGCACAATAATCTCAGCAAAAATTAAACATTTAGCAGTGAACAGAAGCAAGGAGTGAAAGACTTTTACAATGAAAACTATGGTGCTGGTACTGTGCTTTGGAAATAGAGACGAAAGAGGCAATCCTTTAATGGAAAGATATTACCTGTTCCTGTCTGCACAGAATCAATGCTGTCATAATGTGCACACTACTAAAACTTACATATAAACTGAATGAAATTTCAGTCAAAATACTTTCTCTCAAACCTAGATAAAGGTCTTGAAATTCATAAGGAAACAGAAGAAATCCAGAATAAACAAAGCAATTCTGAAAACAAAAGGAGATCATAAGATATCACAATCCCAGATTTCAATTTATATTGCAAAGCTATCATGATTTTCAAAAAAGCATGGTACTGGCACAGAAAGAGACATGTAGGTCAGCACAACAGAATAGAAGATGCAGAAAGAACACCAAACATATTTTGCAGTCTGATCTTTGATCAAAAGTGTCATAAACATATACTGGAGGAAAAATAGACTCTTCAATAGGTACTTCTGTTTCCACCAGTTGCATACATATAGAAGACCGAATCTGTACCTGTATCTTTTCACCATTTATTAAACTACAATCAATATGAATCAAATAATGAAATATTAAAATACTAATATGCAATCTACTATAGGAAAAAATAGGTAAAAGTCTTGGAGATATAGGTATAAGTAAGTATTTTTGAACAGAACTCCAATTACAAGGAATAACTTCATGGATTAAAAAATGGGATTATGCTAAATTGACAGGAAAAGAAACAGAAAATAGAGTAAAATATAAACTATACAATAAGAAAAAATTGTTAGTTATTCCTCAGAGGACTAATCTCTCTAATACATAGAAAACTCAAAAATTACATCCCCACAAAATAAAATACCCCATCAAAACAAG